CCCTAGTCCTCAGCGGGCTTTGGGTCTGAAGTGCCTTTCCTTCGTGACCTTGCTTGCTGTGCCACGTACAGGCCAGTCATCCGTCCTTCCTGTGGCAGCTGGGCAGGACTTGGAGACGCGTGCCTGTGGGAGTCCGAGGGAGGAGGAGCCCAAGCTCAAGTCCAGCCTGGGTAATTTAGTAACTCAGTGAAACCCTGTGTAAAAATAAAAAAGGGCTAGGGTTATAGCTCAGTGCAAAGGCCCTGTGTTTAATCCCCACTACCAAAATATAAAATAAAAGAAAAAGAAAAAAAAAGGGGTGAGTCTCATAACAGACTAGCTGCACACTCTTTTTTTTTTTTTTTTTTCCTTTTTTGAGACAGGGTCTCACTATGCAGTTCAGGCTGGCCTTGAGCTCACTTTGTAGCCCAGGCTGGTCTCGAACTCCCAATGATCCTCCTGGGATTACAGGCATGCACCACCATGCCTGGCTTCATTTACTTTTAATTTTTTAATTTTTTAAATTTTTTTTTAATTTTTCATTTACTTTTGAAGAGACATATTTCTGTGTGGTTACTTCATGTGTCCACTTAGGCTCTACATATAGGGACAAAATATCCTTCAAGAGTATTCTGATAATCTTTTCTTTTGGTTTAGAAGAATGATCATTTCATAAAAATGGATTGGGTTTAGTAAATGGGAATTTTTGTGAAGATATAGGGAAGAGTGTTCACTTAGACATTCTCCTGGGGAATCTCTTTGCTTGATAAGGAGCATCACAATCTTTGATAAGGAATCTGATGGATGGGATGGAGTTTGGGTCCCCAAAATAGGATGGTTACTCTGATCTGACACTCACATTCCTTTCTAATTCATTTTTGCAGCTTTTCCCATGAAGTGTCTACTTCCTCATCTCTTGAATCTGGGCTAGGTGCAGAATTTGATTAGATCAATATAATATGCAGAAGATATATTGTGCTGACGACTAACCAAGGTCCCAAGAATCTCCCATGCCTCACTTTGCTCTTGGAAGATTCTGTCAGTTTCCATGTGTGGAAGCCTGGACTATCCATCGCCTCTGGAGCTCACAGACCAAGTGGGGCAGAGACAGCCCATCCAGCTGATGTCAACCAGCCCCAGGCTAACTCAGCAGTTGACTACAGTCATGTGACCTGCAAAAGTAAACTGATCAGCCAAACAGAGCCCAGACAGTACGACAGGCCAAGCGCATGCTAAGCCATCAAGTTAGGCAGTATGTTTTTCTGCAGCAGTCACTGCTACGAATGACGGCTGTGTGACTTTTCTGGGAAACCCCACCTTGACTTCCTTAATTCCACTTCCTTTTGGAACTTTCTGAAGAGTGAGGTATGTGCAGAAAGACCTCAAGATGCACTGCTGTCTTAAACTCAGTCTTGGCAAAGCAAAGAGTGCCAATAATTATTTCCAGGAAGAGCAAAGAGATGTCTTAAAAATGATGCATGAGATTGTCCTGTTCCTTAGAGATGCTGAGAATATGCAGAACTTAGGCAGAGAGATTCTGTGAGTTTGGAGAAAAATTCCCATAAGATGAAGGAGCTGATGAAACACATGGTTTTCTCAACTCAAAATATAGGAGGTCCAGCCTGCCTTGTGGAAAGTATGCCAAAGCTGATCTTACCCCAGGTGGATGGTGGAGAGCCGGGTAATCAGTGTGAAAGCTCAGCTTCCCAGTTGTGTAAGCCACATTGTTGGCATTGATTTTGTCTTGCACTTGCCAAGTATGTCTGTAAAATAAAAGGAACACATGTATGAGTGGGCTGTCCCTGAGCCAGAGGAAATGTGCTTGTAAGAATTTGATATTTGAGGGGAAATGGAGACTTTCATTTTATGAAATAATTAACATAATGACTATGAGCCAGAAAAGGAGCTGGATGTTTCTTTGTCTACAGTGGCTAGTTCAGAATTAAGAACTCCTTTTTCTCTCCTACACAAAAGACTACACTTGCACATGAGTTGTGAAACATTTCTATCACTCCACACTAAAACCTCTTACCCAGATTATTAGTTACCTTTGTGTTGCTGGAACAAAATACCTGACACCTACAAATTAAAGTAGGAGAGGTTTATTTTGGATGCAGTTTTCAGTGGGTCCAGTTCATGGTTGACTGCCTTCAAGAGAGAAGCAGCATTGTGGGAAGGTATTGGGGGGCAGCTGATCATCCCATGGAAGCCAGCAGGCAGAGAGAGGGAAGGAGCAAGGGACAACAATACACCCTCCAAGGTAATGCTCCCTAATAACCTATCTCTTCTGACCAGGCTCTATTACTGAACACATGAGATTTGGAGGGACATTTTTTCCTCATCTATCTGCACATAGGCGTTTAAGCCCAACTAAGTTCCAACCATTTCACAACCTACATTCTAGAGTCTCAGTTTTGGACTTTAAGCTAAACTGGCTCCAAGTTGTAGATTTGTAATTCACTAGCTGTATAATCTTGGACAATTTACTATTTCTGCACCTCAATTTATATATTTGTGAAATGGAACAATAGTATCTGCTTTGAAGTCCTGCTGTAACAAGCACAAGGTCTACATCTGACATGTAGGAGACATTTTCTAGGGCTCTTGGTCCTTCTTACTTTCCTGATGACCTAATATTTACTCCTCCACTCAGGACTTCCAGAGCATTTTTATTTGTTTCATTCACTGGAACTGAAATTGTTGGTTTTTTTTTTTTTTGGTCTTTTTGAGACAATGTCTTGCTATGTAGTTCAGGCTAGCCTTGAGTTCACTTTGTAGCGTAAGCTGGTCTGGAACTCACAAAGATCCTCCTGCCTCAGCCTCCTGAGTTTTGGCATTATAGGTGTGCTCCACCATGCCTGGATGAAATTGTTGAGTGTTTTGTGATGAGAAGTGTAATTTATAAAGGGCCCTCATCAGTCTGATTTTACTTAGATATTATATATGAATGCATACCTCCACTTTTTGTCCTGGACTGTAAACTCTTTGAATGCAGAACAAAGATTTTTACTCTTCTCCCACTACCTAATCCAGCATCAGTCCTAAAGCAGGGAACCAATAATGCAGACTGAAGGGACCAAGGGATGTGGAGTGATTTTCCTGAGCCTCTATTTTCATTTGGTAAAAGGTAGAGGTACAACCCAAACCTATTCCCACATTTGTGGCTCAATATCTCTCTCTTTCATTTTTTGTTATGATGCTGGCAATTGAACTTTGGGCATCTTGTAAGCCAGCCAAGTGCTCTATTGAAGAGGATATTTTCCCAGTGAGCCAAAGCAGGACTTCTTAACTGTTATCCAGGGCTGAGGAAGAAACAGCTATTTTACTTACATTTTTTACTTAAAATTATAATTGAAAACTTGATAGATTGCTTACTGAAGATAAAACACCACCCGTACGTGGCCATGAAATGGAAAGAGACTGAGTGACAGGAAAGGAGAGGTACATCTAGCAACCCATTCAAGTAAGAGTCAGGTAATCCATTACACTGCAGGGATTGTGGCCAATAAGCACATGTTCTTTACGAAGTTTGTGCAGCTCCACAGCCCATGTAAATACAGATTCAGAGTATTGTCAACAGTGGCATTTGATCAAAAATCAACACATAGGAAAGAATTTAAAGAGATCAAAAAATAACTCTATCAAACTGTAGAATAAATACACAACACCTCCTTACTAAAAAGACAATGTTATTGACACTGTTAGTAGGAAAAGCCTGTTCAGATTTCCTTTTCAAAGGTGATTTTGGTTTTACATTGGTACATTTGCATTTATTTTCTTGGTTTCTCCTATGATCAAGGGTAAGCAGTCCAAGTTTTGGTAAAGCCACAAGCCGGCTCAGTTCAAGGTGTAAGTTTCATTCAAAGAATTATTATTTCGTTGGTTGACATGGACTAGCTTCTAGAGGGATGAGGCTGTGAGTTAGCTTCCTCTGTTCTCCTGCCCTCTGAAACACTGGCAAAGGATGGGTGATAAACATGTCTAGCTTTGGAATCTCTTGGGCATGGTATGGGAGGTGTATTTTAAACATCTATGCCCACAGAATATGATACTGCCCAGTAAAGGAACTCACCAGTGCTGACCATGAAACATTCTCTGAAGGGTTACAGCAGAAGTCTGGCAAAGTACTGAAAATGTCATCTTGTCTTCCTTTTTATCTCCTTGTAGAAATTAATCATGCTAAGAGATCTGCTAGTGATTATTACTTATCCATCCCAAATCCAAATCCCCAAGAAAACACAATAGAAATAACTGTAAACACGATGTACTTCCTGTATAGGAACAAGTTTTTAAAGCCCATGTGTGACACTTTAGTGAGGAGAGGGTGTACTCCTATGTACTTGTTGGAGACACATTCTACTGTTTTAGCACTCCAAGAAAGTGATAGAATTGCTGTGAAGAAGCTGGAGTGTGGGCATGTTGCCTCCTGGTCAACATAATATCTGAATCCAGTGGTGTATACTTGGTTGTTATGGTGTTGAAGCAGGTAACTGTAACCCTACTGACATTTCTGCTTTCATCAAAGATCCTATTTTGAACAAACCCAAGTACAGCCACTGGTGTACTCTTGTTGTTGTCACATTAGAACATTCCCTTTATTTACCTATTAAAGAGTTTTGTTGAAATCTTCTATGCCTTAAAGTCGTGATTTTTAAAGATGATTTTTGTTGGTTTGATTTGAATACTAACTCACTAGATGTATCCAAATTTCCTCAGTGGCTACTCATAAGTTCACGATATTAATGGTACTTTGTGAAAATTTGTATTCTTTAGCACTATGGAAGGCTTGAGCATTGTTTTTGCTGGATTAATTTTTATATCTTTAGTGATATATTCCACAAGTCTTTTGGTTAATGGTTCACCCTTGGGAAGGCATGCTGGGTTAACTTAAAATCTTCTCTTTGTGATTTTTTTTTTAATGAAAAAAGAGGCTCTATGCTTGAAAAACTGAATTTATTATTAATATCAGCTATAGTCTCTAACCACCCTAACCCTTCTTATCAGATTATCCAAGAATGCCTTATTTTGAGCATTGTTACTTACCCCATTGGGTCCAGAAAAAAATGCCCATGTGCTATTTTTAAACTTCAAAATGTAAAATGAACCTCTACTTGAAATAAATGAAAAGCAAAATTTTGAGCTATCTAAAGGAATAGCAGGGCTGGGGATTTAGGTCAGCGGCAAAAGCTCCTGCCTGGCAAGCGCAAGGTCATGAGTTCAGTTCCTGGTACCGGAGAAAAACCAAAAAAAAAAAAAAAAAAAAAAAAAAAAAGGAATAGCACATTGCTTAGTACAGCTATGACACTTCTACCTGTGAATTCCTGGCTGCAGCACTCACCCAAGCTCCAGAGATCTATTTTTTTTTTTTTTTTGGTTTTGGTTTTTTTCCAGTACCGGGAACCAAACTCATGACTTTGTGCTTGCCAGGCAGGTGCTTTGCCACTGAGCTAAATCTCCAGCCCCGAGATCTATTTTTTAATTATCATTCACCACACACTTACAGATAAAAAACATTATATTTTTCTATTTCTAATTTCTATTCTCTACCTATAACTACTGAGTCCAAAGTCTTTAATGAAGTGGTACAATATGAATAACTCACAACAGAATTGGAAACTTGAGTATGGGCTGATCCAGCCAAAATAGAAAAAAAAAAATCGTTCACAGATGAAGATTAAACTAGAAGGAAGGTAACACCAAATAAGCATATGAGATAATATCTTTATGTAATTAGTAGACAAAGGAGAGAAAAATGTAAATCAGGGGTGGGGAGAGAGAGAGGGAGAGAGAGAATGATTTGAGAATAATTTGAGCAAGTAAGAGGACAGACAAACAAGGTTTAATATACGCATAGTAGGAGTAGTGAAAGGAAGGAATGGAAGGCAAGGAAACAGAACAAATACACAAAACTTCAATCCAAGAAAAATTTCCTGAAATTAAAAAAAAGTTGAAACTATACTTCAAAAGACCAAATCATATTTTCCCTGAAAATATTAACCTAGAAAACCAAGACAGAATCTGTAAAATTACCAGACTTTAAAAATAAAAGTATTTTTGACATCCAGTTAAAAAACATCAAACTACTCATAAGGTGCAGAAAAGAATCCCAATAAAATCAACCTGATGCAGCAGAGACCCTGGCAGCCAGGAATTCTGTACTTAGTAGAGCCAATTTTTAAGTATAAAGAAGGACCTTAAACTGCAGTTACCATGCTACAGCCCGGAGATTATTGTTCCCAGGAGTCCTTCCTGACACATTTACAAGAGAATAGACTTCACACAACCGAAATAAACAGATATCCACTGAAGTAGGTTTTGTGCCAAGAAATAAATTTCTACTCGGTTGAACTGGTTTGGGAGGGAAGAGGAAGACCCAGAAAACCAGGAAGTAGGAAAGCTAGGTGGTAGGGCCCAGGAAGGCACCTGGGGGCGACAACACACTGCTCCAGGACAGCAATGAAGCATTTTCAACTGAAAAGCTTGTCTTTGGTTGAGATGTACGGATGCATTTTGGGGTGGCCGACACCTTCCGTGTCTTGACAAGGGTGGTGTTTAAGAGCGTGCGCAGTACAGGAATCCATCCAGCTATACCTTTATTTTAGGTGATTGTCTGATCTGTATTTTACCATGAGTACTCACAGCGACAGAGGACAGGATGGTGGTTACCGTGAGTTAGGTGTGGGAGAAGAGGGGAGATGCTGGTCACAAGCACCAGCCTTCAGTCATGCTATGGTCGCTAAAGACCTCTGCGCAGCATGGTGAT